ACACTTTCTTCACTCGAGCGGTAAACTGGAACACGATGTCACAAGTTTGCTTGGCAAATTTTTCAGGTTCCTTGCTCAGCCCTACAATCTACAAAATTCCAAGCTCTCTGCAATACAGACAAGTTGACACCTTCTAATTTAGTTGAGAAAGCATTCAATGGTCGCCCATCTGCACCAAAACAATCTAACGTTAGTATATCTTCCAAAATTTTCAAAAATAAGTCAGGACAGCATGTACTCGGCAACTCGCAGCCTGAAGCAAGTATGAATCTAGAAATGGAAAAAACTCTTCACCAATCTACGTCCTATTTTCCCCACACTAAGACAACATTTTTTCCCTCGACAATCTAATTAGTACTCTATCTAATGACTTCGGCTTCAGGTGATATAGTCTATCGCCATGGCTATACATAATGTAGTAATACTTAATCTCAGCAACTCTAAGATGAATACCTAATTTTTGCCCAAGTTCTAGCACACCTATTACAATCTTGAAGAAATTTGTGCTAAATATCATAGGGGCACTCTAAATGTAAATGATATAGCTCGAACTTTTGTCTAAGGGAATACTTAGGTCTTTCGTCAGCCACAGCTTCAAGGGGCAAGATAGAGACATCTCTCAAATGAAGAAATCTAGGGTATGTTTGGTTTGGTTTTTGGAGAGTAATTTTTAAAAATTATTTTGAGAAGAGAGTTTAAAATTTTTTTTTGGTTTGTTTGGTTGTGTATTTTGAAAGTAGTTTTGGCGTTTGGGAGTTTGGAATGATTTGATATTTTGTTATAATTTAGTAGATGTGTGTGAGAGAAAAAGTGATTGAGAAAGAGAGAAGAGAGAGAAAAAGTGATTGATTGATAGGTAAGAGAGAGAAAGTGATTTTGAAAATTGTTTTGGAAAATTTACAAACCAAACAAATTTTTAAATTTTTTTTCCCAAAATCACTCTAGCAATCCAAACCAAACATACCCCTAGTCATCTTAATGTCTACACTACCTCTAACCAATGCAATTTTCACATTGTCTGGAACGTTGAACAAATTTAAGAAATTTGAAACAAATTTCAAAGAATCAAAGAAATGAGAATAAAGGCCCATACCAAGGTTCAATGGTGAAATGAATATAGGAGATCACACCTGATCGAAACAACAAATTAGAGAAGCAAGGGACGAAGTAAAAAGATCTAAAACAAAGCTAAAACAAAGTCGAGTTGAAGACGAACGAACACACACAATTCCTTCGTAGTAGTTAACAACCAACTTTTAATAACAAAGCGACACATTTAATGAGGATGTACAAATTACTCTATAGTCACCACGTAATCCAAGAAAGCCTCATCAAATTACGACCAATGTTATGTCTGATCGATAGATTTAGAGTCAACATGTTGAGTACACACTGAGTAAGCTTCATCATTTTAAACCACTTAAACGGTTCAAGTTCAAATGGAGGAGATGTTCTTGGCAAAACGATTTGAACTCAGTGAATCATCATCCAAATTGCCTATGTACACAAGTAACACTCGGGAAAAAACAATTCATGGATAAATTGACAAGCATCTATAAGAGAGTTGGCAAGCATCCAGACAAGTCACCAATTATCTGATTTAGAAAACCGTTGCTGAAACATGCAAGTGTTAGGTTTAGAAAGCACAAAGTAGATGCCAACAAATAATCATTGAGATCAAACATTAGTTGGTTGCCGATTAACTTAGACGTCGAATCCAAACATTAGTTAGCCAAATTAGAGCAGCAAAGGCAAACAGAATGCAATAATTGAAAAAAAAAAAATTGCAAAAGGCAATGGATGCGTTTCATTACTTAAAATACTATCAAAATTACGTTGGCAAAAAGCAAAAAAGGCAATTACAAAAAAATCCTAATCTATTTGCACATTATTATCATGCTTGTCAATGACATTTGCAGTAGAGGCAGCCTCAGCGTCAACTTCAGCTCTAGTGGATTGATTAGGAGCAAGAGCTCCCAATTCTGAATCTATTGCATAAGGTTCAATCCCTTCAAACTCGTATGGCGGAGAAAGGGTGGCCTCGACATAAACTGCAGCAAAAGCTTTGAGCCTGTCATGTTTGAAGCCCTTGTTCTCAAGTCCCACAACATCAAGCACATAACTATTCAATGCTTCGGTCTTTCCCCACTTAAACTCTGCCTTGGAATGTTCATCTATGGCCAGAAGCTCCTTCTGAAGGTTATCATTCTCTACCTTTATAGTGGAAACCAACTTCTCAACCTTAAAAAGCTTTGCCGATAGCTCAGAGTTCTTTTCTTTCTTAGCATCGAGGTCACTGATTGTCAAGTGAGCCTTTGGCTCCTCCTTTGAAAGCTTCACTTGGAGCTTGTCGGCTTGCCCCTTAAGAACAAAAACTAGCTCATACACCTTCATGTTGCGCTTACCAAGGTCAAGTAGCCTCACTGCCACATGGAAAAGAAATGAAGTGTTAGAAATAAAACGGGCCAACAAATTGAGCAAAACCACTTTTGATATGAATTTAGATATCTACTTACCAAAATGGTTGCCTGAGTTGTTGAGTTAAAGGCATCGACATCGGTTAGAGCCTTAATAGACTTTGCGTTGGCAAGTAAGGTTACGGCCTTGGCAAGAGCCACCGCTACGTCAGTATTGCCAAGAGTTGAGTCAAACTCTGCAACATGACTTTTTTGTGTCTTCGTCTTAACAGCATAAGTTGTGTTAGTTTTCCCTTTACTGAAGGAAGGCTCGGATTTTTTTTCTTCTAAGGGTTGGGCTCTGCCTTCAAGGGAGAATTTCTCCCCCTTGTTGTACTAGATGGATGGCCCCTATGGTGGCAAACTTGCCACAATAGTAGCTCAAGTAGAAGGAAGAGTCTGGGTAGGAAGGTTAGAGCTGACTTGAGCTAAAGCCTTGGCTTCTGCAGCAGCCTTGGCCTCGACAATCTTGATTTTTGCCAGGTTACCGAGATTGACTTTTTCTTCCATTGGATCGGCTAGGTTGTCTAAGTTATCAAAAATACTATTGTACTCAAACTCTTTCCACTCCAACTAATATTCTCTAGATGTAGAGGGAGTGCTAGTGCGATCATCTACTTCAATCCTTTGAGCTAAAGGATCATCTTCAGAAAGAAGCTCAGGAATCTCCTCTACACCAAGATCTTCATTGGCGGTTTGAAAAATGATGATTAAAGTCTTCTCTTCTTCAAAAGAGGAAACCTCTCCCTGATCTTCAGTGGCTTTCATAGGCTTAAACGAATCAGAAAGTGTTGGGGTATATCTCCTTATTGGAGTTTGAGACCCAATTGATTTGTTAAAGAATTTTAATTTGGTTTGGTTTAGGTATAATATATTTTGATATATTATATCTAATTTGTGGAGAGCTAATTCAGTTTGGTAACCATTAGGGTTTTGATAACAAAACTCAAGGATCAATTATATATCTATATAATAAGGCATGAAGGTTTTTGAAAATGTATAAAATGTGTGAGAGATACAATTGATTTTAATGATCAAGATGAATCCTAAGTACATATACATTTAAATCAATGGTCTACATACATTTAGTTCCCACCCGTTTGAGAAATACTAAAAAAAGAAAAAAGAAAAAATGAGCAGTGGGAGTCGAGTGTTCTGTAAATCCTTCTTGGTACCTTCACTCGCTTCGACTGAACTCATTCGATTCAAGTTTTTCAGAGCTCGAACTTCCTCGTCCAACCGTTCTAGGGTTTTTCGAATGGCCACCGAGCCTCCTTCTTCATCCTCATCATCACCACCACACTCCGCTTCAGCTTTCTCTAATGGCAATTCATCCTCGATCCCCGCTTCTTCTGCCATCGATTTTCTCTCTCTCTCTCACCGTCTCAAGGTATTTTTGTATATATGTATGATTCATTTGAGTGTTGATTGTTTTGGACTCGAATATCATTGCCTAAATTTGTGATTTTGTTTTTTGGGTTTGGGGGTTTTTTGGGGTTTGATCAGACGACGAAGAGAATAGGATGGGTGCGAAGGGATGTTGAGAATCCAGAGTCCATAGCCGATCATATGTATCAAATGGGGTTGATGGCTCTCATTGCTTCTGACATTCCTGGAGTCGATCCAGACAAGTTAGGGTTTCTGTTACTTTTAGTTTTTTTGTGTTCCATCTGGGTTATTTGTCATTATTGCATTTTCTAAAGATTTTAACATATTTTGCTTCTTTTATTTTTTTTCCAAATGTCCGGTGTATAAAAATGGCAGTTGTCCATGATATTGCAGAAGGTAATAGCTTTGCATTTAAATTTTTATATATCTATTAGGTTCTCATATGTATCCGTTGGTTGATAAAGTATGCTTGATAAAAGAAAAAGGATTAATTACACTTTTATCTCCTTCACTGTCACCATTTTTTTTAGTTTGTCCGTAAACTATAATGATTTGAGCTCATGTAGTCCAATTGAAGATGATTGTAAAAATTAGTAATGGTAAAATTCTAACCTCATGAGAAAAAAGTCATTTCTACATTTTAAACAATCTAAGCCAAACCAACCATCCATCTTCTTACTTACATTATATTGGACAAAATACTCCCTGCAACCAAACAACCATCTCCTTCCCCACCCCCCTCTCCCACTGTTTTTCTCTCCTGCTCTCCTCCCTCACCTGATAACCTCCCCTACCACCACTATTGAACCCCTTCCCATAACCCATCATCGAATAGGGAGATATGTTTTTCTCTCCGAGTGAATTTCTCTGCACTTTCAATATTTTTTTACTTTACCAACCAATTAAATTAATGGTAAAATTCTATTGTATGTGTATTTTTTATTTTTATTTATTTATTTATTTTTGCTCTAATTCTCAACCTTAGAACTTTCTTTTGTTCTAATTTATTTATTTAATTCCGATCGTACGAACTTTACTCTCTCGAATTGGATGTACTTACATTTGTTATATATTATTGCTACGTGGTTTACTTTGTGGATTACCTACTGGATCTGTTTGAATGATTTTGATCGATTTTGGTGTTTAACTGACTATCTTCAATTGAGTCCCGTATGAATAGGATTGCTTTAACGGTGGTCTATGATAAAGAAATTTAAAACAATTTTTTTTTTTTGATTGACTATTTTCCGTCTGTTGCAATTCGGGTTTGAACTATGTATAATATTTTGTTTTGCCTCTGGTTTGGAGATATTACCTGCTTAATTTTATGGTTTCTTTGTGTATGTGGACTATGTATGTATGTATTTAGTTCATTTGTGAGGATGTGAAGGATTGCAAGGCAAAAACTTGGAGCTGGAGGATTTCCTGTTCCGGTAGGTCTTTCAATTGTATGTTTTGATTTTGAAAAAGGAAGATTTTTTTGCATCTAATAGATAGTATTTGATTTCAGATTTTAGAACAATCCTTGCAGAGGATACAGCAGCCTGCAGTATCCGCGTTGAGATGTTATTCATCTGCTACCAAAGAGGTAGTTGTGGATTATGTTCATTGTGTTGTTGTTCAATTTTTTCGTTTTTTTTTAATGGTTATTTGGTTGTTTAGATGTGTTAGAATTAATTTTATTTCATGAGCTAATTTTTCCTATTTTGAAAATCATGAAAACATCAATTAGGTTATTGAAAACTTAACTTCTCACTTTATTTTTAAATTTATTTATTTATTGTCAAATACCATGACCTGATTCTAACATATCCCTTTTTAGTAATATTTATTGAGATGTTGGTAATGTTTATTTATTGAGATGTTGGTAATTTTATTTTATTTTTTTCTAGTTAAATTCTCAACCTTAGAACTTTCTTTGTTTTTTTAATTCTGTTGTATGTGTATTTTTTATTTTTATTTATTTTTTTATTTTTGTTCTAATTCTCAATTTTAGAACTTTCTTTTGTTCTAATTTATTTATTTAATTCCGATCGTACGAACTTTACTCTCTCGAATTGGATGTACTTACATTTGTTATATATTATTGCTGCGTGGTTTACTTTATGGATTACCTATTGGATCTGTTTGAATGATTTTGATCGATTTTGGTGTTTAATTAACTATCTTTGATTGAGTCCCGTATGAATAGGATTGCTTTAACGGTGGTCTATGATAAAAAATTTAAAACAATTTTTTTTTTTAATTGACTATTTTCCGTCTGTTGCAATTCGGGTTTGAACTATGTATAATATTTTGTTTTGCCTCTGGTTTGGAGATATTATCTGCTTAATTTTACGGTTTCTTTGTGTATGTGGACTATGTATGTATGTATTTAGTTCATTTGTGAGGATGTGAAGGATTGCAAGGCAAAAACTTGGAGCTGGAGGATTTCCTGTTCCGGTAGGTCTTTCAATCGTATGTTTTGATTTTGAAAAAGGAAGATTTTTTTGCATCTAATAGATAGTATTTAATTTCAGATTTTAGAACAATCCTTGCAGAGGATACAGCAGCCTGTAGTATCCGCGTTGAGATGTTATTCATCTGCTACCAAAGAGGTAGTTGTGGGTTATGTTCATTGTGTTGCTCAATTTTTTCGTTTTTCTTTGATGCTTATTTGGTTGTTTAGATATGTTAGAATTAATTTTATTTCATGAGCTGATTTTTCCTATTTTGAAAATCATGAAAACATCAATTAGGTTATTGAAAACTTAACTTCTCACTTTATTTTTTAAATTTATTTATTTATTTAGTTATTTATTTATTGTCAAATACCATGACCTGATTCTAACATATCCCTTTTTGGTAATATTTATTGAGATGTTGGTAATGTTTATTTATTGAGATGTTGGTAATGTTTTTTTTTTTTCCAGTTAAATTCTCAACTTTAGAACTTTCTTTGTTTTTTTAATTCTATTGTATGCGTATTTTTTATTTTTATTTATTTATTTATTTTTGTTCTAATTTTGTTTCCACATTATGTCATTTAGTTTTCACTACTCATGGATTGCAATGTGCGACATGGAAATTGTTGTCATTGTTATTATTATTATTGTTTTGTTTCATTTCAGGTGTCATCTTTCAATCGCAATCTGAATTCTGTAAAGTTTCAATCAAGCATTTTTGGTACTGTTGTTCCTGGCAAGCCATCTTTCTTACAGTTGAGTAATCCACTGTTTCCTCTTTGTGCAGTTGAGTAGTGTTTGCTTATATTGTGATGAAGACAAAATGATTTGATCCAAACCATAAAGAAAATGTATTGCTAGGAGTATGCAGCCTATCAAAGCAACTGCAATGCCTCCTACAGTTGTTCTTCAACCAACATCACGTACTATTCTTTGTTTCTGTTTTTTATTGACAATGTATGTAATTTATTTTCCTTCGATAAAAATTTGACATCATCTTTGGGATTCTTTGTGCTATATAGTAGAAATCTGGTGATCAACATCTGGTAAATAAATATTATATGCCCCTACTTTTGTTCACAGTATGTCCAATGAAAGTTACCTGTTAACTTCTGTTTCATCTTTAGATTTTTTCTAGTAAGTATATCATCTTTAGATTGGATGTTCCTTATGTTTTTTCGCTCTTTTTGTTCAATTCCCCCACTGGTATTTGCTAGATGAAGAAGATCACTGTGCTGAGGTCCACAATAACCAATCTTCAGCCTAAGGTAGGGTCCATACTTTTTTCTAACTCTTTTTAGTGTATTGAATGTCTGTTGTGGTGTGTAGTGTGGCTATGTAATGATCAGCTATTGCAACTGCTGCTTTTGATAGATCTTAGTTGGATTAACACTTGAAAATTTCTCTGTAACCATATATATTCTATATCAGGGATTCAAATGTGGGTCTGACAAACGTAACCCATTGTCCCTGTGATTGATTTGAATAGAAGTAGCTAAATCAGTTGCACAACATTATCTTGAACAGTATGATTACCCAATTCTAGAAACAGTTCTACATTTAGGATATTTTTTATCACTCATTAATCTCAGTTGTTTTGGGGTGGTCCATTTACCATATTTATTGTGCCTTATATTTTCTGTAGGCAATCATTTTTGTTTTATTTGTATTTCTTTTAAATAATGTATTATTAATGTTAGACAAAAGAAAGCACCTAAACTGATATGGAATATGATAGTGAAAAAAATGTCAATTTTTCTCTATGCTATACAGTTAAACAATGTATTGTTCCTCTTGCTATTAGGCTTCATTTTCAAATTATCCATATACAGTTAGGTTCCATCATCTGAGGAGGCGTCTTATATGTCATGCATGTGTATTTTAATGCATGAAAGGTGTCTACTGATGCACTAATTCTGTGATTACATGTCAAAATGATATATAAATTTGGTGTAAAAATTGGTAATCACACAACAATACTCTACAAAAAGTAGGCATCTTCCATTTGGAGATGAAAACAATTTTGTTCAATGATAGAATAGATGTGTCTGCGCGTTATATTTTCTAAATTTTATGGTTGCCAGATGTCATAGGATGAATTTTGTTGTGAAACTACATACCATCTATAGATTTGATTGGCAGCAGTAGCACTAACTGGTTTGCATTTTAATTTTAATTTCTTTTAAATTGTAGAGCACTGGCTGATGTGCATTATTTGATATTTAATTTTATTTTTATATTTGATTTGTTTGGAACTATAGAGTACAGTAACTGGTGTGCATTTTAATTTTAATTTCTTTTAAATTGCAGAGCACTGGCTGGTGTGTATTATTTGATATTTAAATTTTTTTTATATTTAATTTGTTTGCAATTGTAGAATACAGTCTGTTAAATATATTTTTATAACTGCATTTTAATCTTAATATTATTTACACCGTGCCTTTAGGCACGGGCATACGCTAGTATATATATATTTGGTATTGGTTTTGCCTAAGGAAAAAAGTGTACGGCTGATACATACACTTCAATTCAGTGGAGTCAAACTTTTGGGTGAGTGAAAAAGTGGAATTAATTCGGCTGGTTCCTTGTTTCGTTTTTCAATTTTTTCGAAGTCCTATTAGTGTGCATAATTGGGTGTTTTGATGAAACTGATTTGGTTCGTTATTTTGGGCCTTCTTCAATTCTGATTTTGAAGATTTTGGTTCATCTATTTGGTGAGGTTTTTCCTCTTGTTTATTTGTGATTATTTGGAATTCACCAAAGGGTGGTTTGTGAGACCATTCGTGTCTCGTTTGTAATCGTTTGGAAACTTATTTGGTTGATAGTGGAATTGGATTTCGATCCCGTGGACATACCTCACATTGAGGGAACCACGTAAAATTCTTGTGTTGCTTTTGAATTCATTTTTTCGCATTAACTTTTACTCCCATTGATTGATTTACTTGTGGGAAATCTTATATTTCTCCTAACAACTGGTATCAAAGCTTACGGTTTATTTGGGTCTATTTATTTGTGTAAATCAATAGAGGGGAATGTGGGTCGTATGTCTAGCTTTAATGGAAGCAATTGGGTAACTTAGAAAACTAAAATAGAGGACCTATTATTTTGTAAAGATTTGTATGGACCCATTGAGGGTGATAGTGGCAAACCCGAGGGTATAAAAGATGATGAATGGAATAGGCCTAATCGAAAAGTCGTTGGTGTTATCCGTCAATGGATTGATGACAGTGTGTTTCATCATGTTGCTACTGAAACTTCGGCACATAATTTATGGGAAAAATTAGAAAGTCTTTATGATAGAAAATCAGCCACAAATAAAGCATTTCTATTTCGTAAGTTGGTTAATTTAAAATATAAAGATGGCAGCCCAATTCCAGAACATTTGAATGAAATAAAAAGTATTGTTAACCAACTTGCTTCTATGAAAATTGTTTTTGATGATGAGTTACAGACTTTGATGCTACTTAGTTCTTTACCCGAAAGTTAGGAGACTTTGGTTGTGACCGTTAGTAATTCGGCGCCCGATGGAGTTGTCACAATGGGCCAAGTCACTAGTAGCCTATTGAATGAAGAAACTAGAAGAAAATCAGCGAATTCCTCTCATATAGAAGCATTTGTTGTGAGAGGCCGAAGAAAAACAAGGGGGAGCAGTAAGACTCCTCATAGTCGTGATCAAAGCCGTTACAAATAAAAAGATGATGTTTTTTCAAAGAAAGACATTGAGTGCTATTATTGCCATAAGAAATGGCACGTGAAGCGTGAATGCCGAAAGCTCAAGAATAAGGAGAAAAGGCGTGACAAAAGTATGGATAAGAAACAAGAAGACACACAGCAGTTACTACCGATGATCTCATGGTCGTTTGTAAAGATGATTGTATCAATTTTGTGGGCCAAGAGAGCAATTGTGTGATTGATTCCGGTGCTTCTTTTCATGTGACTTATCGAGTTGATTTCTTCACTACCTACACCAGAGGAGATTATGGTTTTGTTCGAATGGGTAATGAAGGTTTGTCCAAGATTATCGGCATGGGTGATGTTTTCCTGAAAACAAATTTGGGCTGCAAGTTGTTGCTTAAAGATGTGAGGCATGTTCCCAACATTCACCTCAATTTGATCTCTACTGGGAAGCTAGATGATAAAGGCTACAACAACAAATTTGGTGATGGAATATGGAAGCTCACAAAGGGTTCTTTGGTGGTGGCTAAGTGTAAGAAGACTCATACACTTTATTCGATGCAAGAAAAAATTTGTAAAGGTATTGTCAATGCACTTGAAGATGATACATCTACCGAATTGTGGCATAAGCTGCTTGGCCACATGAGTGAAAATGAGCTGCAAGTTTTGTTCAAGAAAGAACTTCAACCCGATTTAAAAGGTACACATCTTAAAACTTGTATTCATTGTTTGGCGGGTAAACAACATAGAGTTTCTTTTGAGAAAAATGTTGCTTCTAAAAAATAAAATGTTTTGGAGTTGATTCATTCGAATGTTTGTGGCCCTTTGAAAGTTAGAACACATAGTGGTGCATTTTATTTTGTTACTTTCATTGATGATTATTCAAGGAAAGTTTAACTTTTCTACTAAAAACTAAAGATCAAGTTCTAGAAGTATTTAAACATTTTCAGGCCATGGTTGAAAGAGAAATTGGTAGAAATTAAAGTGCATCCGATCAGACAATGGTGGTGAATACATTGGGCCATTTGATGTGTATTGTCGCAGCCAGGGTATTCGGCACCAAAAGACAGTTAAGAAAACTTCTCAACAAAATGGCGTTGCCGAGAAGATGAACTGCACCATTATGGAAAGAACAAGGTGTTTGCTTTCACAAGCTAAATTGCCAAGATCCTTTTAGGGTGAGGCAATGAAGACAGCGGTTGACGTGATCAATTTGTCTCCTTCCTATCCTTTGAATGGTGATGTTCCAGAAAGAGTTGGAACCGGTAAAGATGTGTCTCATAAGCACTTGAGAGTGTTTGGTTGTCGAGTTTTTGTTCACATTCCAAAGGATGAGAGGTCCAAGCTTGATAGTAAGTCAAGACAATGTATTTTTCTTGGCTATGGACATGATGAGTTTGGTTATAGATTGTGGGATCCGGTCGACAAGAAAGTTATTCGAAGCCGTGCTGTTGTGTTTCTTGAAGACCAAACAATTGAAGACTTTGGTAAATGTGATCAACTGAAGCCAAAAACTAGTGATCTTATTGACATGGATCCATCTCCTTCATCTTCAGTTGATGATGAAAATGGGACAGATGTGCAGCCACCTATTGAAGATGTAGAGGATGATCCTAATCCTAATGAAGTTGAGCTAGAAATTGAGGAAGAACATCCAACTCAAGTACCGTCACCACAACTTGAGTTGAGGAAATCTACAAGGGACCGACAACCCTCGAGAAAGTATCCTCCCAATGAGTTTGTATTAATTTTTGATCAAGGGGAGCCTGGGAGCTACCAAGAAGCAATTGAGCACACAAAGAAAGGTGATTGGAAAAAGGCGATGGACGAGGAGATGAATTCCTTACTTGAAAACCAGACTTATGATTTAGTGAAGTTGTCTAAGAGGAGGAAAATTCTGAAAAAATAAGTGGGTTTTCAAATTGAAGAATGATAGCAAGAATCTGAGGTACAAAGCATGTCATGTTGTGAAAGGCTTTGGGCAAAAGAAAGGTATTGACTTTGATGAGGTTTTTTCGCCAGTTGTGAAGATGCCTTCTATTCAGGTTGTACTTGGCATGGTTGCAAGTATGAACCTTGAAGTTGAACAACTTGATATGAAGACCGCATTTTTTTTACGGTGATCTTGAAAAAGAAATTTACATGGAGCAACCAGAAGATTTTGTGGAGAAAGAGAAAGAGAAATTTGTTTGCAAATTGAAAAAAAGTTTGTATGGCTTCAAGCAAGCCCCGCGGCAATAGTACAAAAAAAATTGACCCTTTCATGATGAATAATGGTTTTTGTAAAACCACTTCGGACCATTGTGTGTTTGTGAAAATTTTTTCGGATGGCAAATTTATTATTCTTTTGCTTTATGTTGATGACATGTTAATTGTGGGTCAAGATTCTACCATGATTAACAAGTTGAAGTTAGAGTTGAGTAAATCCTTTGCTATGAAAGATTTGGGACCGGCAAAGCAAATACTTGGTATGAAAATTGCTCGTGATCGCAAAGAGAAGTTGATTTGGTTGTCTCAAGAAAGCTACATTAAGAAAGTTCTTGAGAGGTTCAACATGAATAAAGCAAAGCCGGTTGGTTGTCCACTTGCGAGTCACTTCAAGCT